GTGGACTTTTTATTTTAAAATATATATTATACTTTATTTTCCATAATTTTCCACATTTGAAACAAAAACGTTTGCGATGATCTTCTTTATAATATATATATATATATATATATATATATATATATATATAGTTTTTTCATACGTATATATACAGGGTGTATTAAAAATACTTTTACAAACATACGGGGTGGGATCGAAACAGCACAAACAAGGACAAAATCCATATAAATATATATCCACAAATTCTTCGTTTTTGAGTTATTAAATTTAAAGGAAGTTTGCCGTAGATGGAGCTGTGATGACATTTGGACTAGGTTACATTTGTTATTCGTATGCATTTTTGGCTAGTCTGCCTTCGACGTTTAACGTGTGTAGTAATGTTTTAACTGAGATGTGTTCTGTTTCACCTGTTCATCCAATGCGCAGGTTGATATGATATATTTATGTACGGCTGTGTGAATGGGAATGAACGCGAGACTGCACGGTTGTATCAGATTCGTTTCCAGAACGAAGACAGACGAGTCATCTAACTTTTCCTGCTGTTTATCGTCGCGTTGATCTGTTGCAACACAAACTATGGATCAAGGAAAACCGAGAACCCCTCATATGCCTGAAGAAACATTTGACAGGCTGACAGAGACGATCTAGCTGTCAGCACACGGCCAAATAGCCCTAGCGCGCCGTATTATGGTTTATTGCATAAACTGCCGATTCGTTGTTTGTTTCTTCAGTATTGTTTACGGATGAAGCAACATTTGGAAGAGATTGAATAACTCATTTGCGCAACCAACATTGTGGGCGTATCGGTATCCCAATGATGCAATACAATCCAGACAGCAGCAACAGTTTGCGATTAATGTGTAGGCTGGAATTGTAGGTGACTGTCTGTTAGGTCCATATGTTCTCCCAGTACGTCTTACCGGTGACGTCTGCCGGGACTGCCACACCTGCTAGAGGATGTACCCCTGCTAATACAAAGACACATTTTAGTCACATTGTTCGCGATGCACTGGCTGGCATCTACCATGAACGATGGATAGGTAGTTGAGAACCGGTCCCATTGCCCCCACGTCCCCCCCCGACATCAATCCTTTGGATTTTTTATTTGTGGGGCCACCTAAAACAATTGGTGACTGAATGAAAATTTTACCTTGTTTTGGTGTCACGAACCCACCAAAGTTTGTAAAAGTATTTTTTGATTGCATCTTAGATTGTACATCTAACAGCGTTCTACCGTGAACTTTAACGTATTAACTCAAAAACGAAGGATTTGGGGACATATGTTTTTGTGGACTTATGTTCTTGTTTTTGTGCCCCCCCGAATAATAAGAAGAAAGTTTGTAAAGAATTTTTGATACACCCTGTGTATGCATGCGTCTAAGTCTGTAGGCATGTATGTAAGAGAGCCATATAATATGAAAAGAGCACATGCAATCAAAATACATATATTTGTGTAAACGTTTGCAAACATATATATATATATATATATATATATATATATATATATATATATATATAACAATAAAAAAAAAAATATTAAAAAATTAAAAAAATTAAAAGTTAAAATCTTTAGACACACTGGGTTGTAGATTAATATTCTTTCGTTTTTTATTATTATTTAGATTCCTCGACTCGTTTTTCGTCCAAAATGGCCATCACCGGGAGGAGAAATATTTGTCTTGTTGGAGAATATATATATATATATATATATATATATATATATATATATATTGTAGGGCTAGCCTTGGCGCCAAGGTCGAAGAGGAAGGAACAGACTGAACGCGGCCAACCCCCAAAGACCCCAATAGGAATAGGCAAAGATCTAGACGATCTCAACGGCCAAATCGATGGAAAACGGCTGCCCCTTTCGGTCTGGCGTAACCAAATCTTTCCTGTCACAACCCCTGAGCTGCAAGGGAGGTGCTTCTGGGTAAATGTATAGAGTTGCCGGATAAAAGTAAATTCACATGAATTGTCCTATCAAACTCTCTTTTATTTACAGCCGTTTTCGACACCGCCACCAGGGGAGAAAAATATGTAGACAGGACGATGATACCGATGCCGACATAATTATATATATATATATATATATATATATATATATATATATATATATATATATATATATACACGCAGTGATCTGACGCCTATAGTCACTTATATAGGCAAGAATTTTTCTTAGAAAATTAGTGAGAATTCAGCCGCCAAACGAATCCATGACATTTGAAATGATGCGCCAATCTTCTCACTCACACACACACTCACATGCTGAACATTCCTTATACACTCACATAATCTTTTCTTACACAGCAAAATCTTCTGAGAACAGTCATTATAAGATATTCTCATAAACATTCTTCCAGAGAACTTTGAAATACTAAAATTACAGTTAAAGTGAGACAACTCTTGTTTATTTCAACCTTTTCTTACTTAAATGCATGTTTTCTTTCACATCATTGTTTGATATTGTACTTCTTGTTAAATACACATCCTATGTGTAACGATGTATTTTGCTTATCCTTTTCTGCGTCAGCCCTGTTTCCTAATCTAAAAATAAATTAATGTGGTGAAGTCCGCCACAATCTCTCTTGTTTGCAGACTTCCCACATTCAACATGTTTGGCTCTTCTACTTTCAGAATGTATACCAAAGCGTTAGTCACTTTCAAAGGGTTTACGCTAAGGTGTTTCAAGCGTCGGTATCGAACTTTTACCCGTCTTCCATCATTGATTTGTCCAAGCAAACCGCCCTTGTATTTATTCCAAGCAGAACATAATGCATGCTCAAAATGCGATGGTCACACAGGACACAGTTTTTCTCAATGATATCTTATCACACATGCGCAGTAAGGTCATCATAAGATCGTTTGTTAAATAACGTTAAGGCTGCAAAATCGCTTCTCGAGATATTCAAAATGGCTGAATCATTTCGCAAGAGATACAGAGTGTTAATTCAGAAAATTTTGATAAAAATTTATTTCCCCGAACTCCTACTTTTTACTGTTTCCTACAAAATAGCACTTCTGGGCAGATTTTTTTTTTTTTACCAATTTTACAAAACGTTCTGCTCACAGAGGGCAGTATCAAATATCCGTACTACATGAGTTTTGCGCTACCTTCAAATTCTTCGAACTTTTTTCATTTTTTTTTCTAATCCTTTTCCTTGTCTTTGGTCAAAGTTTAAATTATAAATTACCCAATATTTTCTAAGCATTTTCGACTAAATAAATGTTATGTTGGTTAATAAAGTCATATCATTTTTAGTAAGCAGTTTTTTTTTAATTGGTCGTTTGCGTGCATTGCGTCTATACGTTGCAGATTATCCATTTTACTTCAACAATACAAAAATATTACTTTACCGTATAAACTTCAAAATACAACTGAAGCCTAAACCATAAGAAACTAATAACCCAGCATCAATAAAAAGACTTCCAATTTAAGAATAAACATATGAAATAAATAGATGATCAATAATATCCACACAGAGATTTTGAACCTGGTCTGACATTTTTTCTATCAACCATGCCTTCCATTTTTCCACAGTTAATAATGGGAACGGGTCGTTCTGGCGTAACTCATTTGGCGTCGCTGATTTGACGTGGTCGATTCGAGAGGTTTTTTTCCTCAGAGGACGCTAAGGCCTCAGATTACTATTTCCTCGTTATAGTCAAATTTGCTCTCTCTCTCTCTCTCTCTCTCTCTCTCTCTCTCTCTCTCTCTCTCTCTCGTTTAATAGTCAAATTAGAACTTAGTCGTTATATGCTCGGATAGTCCAATTCAAGAAAATTCGTAGTTGGGGACATTTTTATATTTAAGTCATTTAAGAATCCAGTTAGACTGATATCACTTGAGTGGGAATGGAACGTTCCGGTGCCTCTGATTGGGCGTGGCCGATTCAACATAGGAATTTTTCACCAGAGGGACGATTTTACTTCAGATTACTACTTCGACGTTATAGTCAAATTTGATCTCTCATTTAGTAGTCAAATTAGTACTTCGTCGTTGTAAGCTCGAATAGTCTAATTTAAGAAAAAGAGTACTTGGAGGCATTTTTAAATTTGAGAAAAAGAGTTGGAAGTATTGTTATATTTCCTTCAGTGAAGCTCCATATTTTTCAGTTGTCAAATGAAATGGAATATAGAGATGCTGACGAAAGAATCCAAAAAGTCATTATGGAAGATGAATCATTCGATCCTATTGAATTCCTGAAGGGTGTTGCTCATAATTACGAAATGAAGAAATAATTTCTAAGATGAAATAGCCTTATTAAGTTTAATTTCTTTTGAAATACAATATTTTTAATTTAAGTTTTTAATTTACATTATTCCATTAGTGTTTTAATAAGATCCTTAATTCCCTAAATGAATAAAAAGGGATATTTAAATTTGGGTGTTTTCAATACTTTTATTCATTTTTTTTTTGGGGGGGTTGTCCTGTTAAATAGTTTTTTCAGTTTTCTGCCTGAATTTGCCATCAGCACAGTGTAATTTGTGTCTGTTTTCAATATAATGCCCACCAATAATAAATCCAGTTAGGACTTCTAGTCCTTCTAGAATAATTTTCTTGCATTTAACCACAGACAAATCTTTACAGTTTTCTAGACATGCAAAACAAAAAAAAATTGCAGTAATAGTTGTCTTGGGGAGAAGAACTAAGTGATATATTTAAAATAAATATATTTAATACAAATCAAATTTTGTATGAAATGACAATGTATTAATGTGCAATTTGATTTTATTATGGTGATTGATTGATTCGGTTTTTACGGTTTATCAACCCTTTGAAGGTTATTTAAAGCAAGAAAATATTTTTTTAGATTGTAAGAATTCTTTATTTTAGATAATAATGATTTTGCTAATTAACCCATAGCGGGGGGAAGAGGTGTATTAATACCTTTCCCAAGGGTATTTGCGCGTAAGTGATATAACGAACCCAACAGGAATTGGAACTCGGCTCTCCAGTTTAATAACTCTGAGCCTTTATACCACTAGCACTTCCAAGCTTACAGAATCTGGTATTCCCAAGCGGTTACCCATCTAGGTACTGGCAAGGCTCGACGTTGCTTAACTTCGGTGATCGTACGGAAACCGGTGTTTCAATGTGAAAGCCATGATATAGCATCAGCAATTGTTGTCGGTCAATCTGGAATGTGGAGTAACCATTGACCACTTTCAAATTCATCTTTTTACTATTATCACGGCGTTTCGACAGTTGGGCTCTCAGACCTTCTTCAGGTGTTTGTCGATCTGGGTAACCACAAGAAGATTTCGAATTGAACACTTTATTAAATCTACGGCAGTTGGGGATCGTTCTCGTTCCATGTCTTGTTTTGTTCTTATTTAGAATTGCGCAGTTATTGCTCGCCGTTTCCACTAAAAGCTCACTCTGTGTACTGCACAGAACAGGAATTGAACTCCCAATTAAAAGTGTCACTAATTTCACGAACAAACGTTTTAATCCACTTGGCCGTTAAAAATCATTCAGATACGATATTTTAAATTTTACAATTGCAGATTTTTTTTTGTATTAAGAAAATGATCACGTGGTTGCTTTCATTTCAAATTTCTTTGCAAGAGAAAAAGCCGTGTGTCTTGAGCAGTTGGAACAGCTGAGTTGATTGCGCTTAGGGTAAAATAAAGAAAAACACACTCTGCAACAAACCTTAGAATTCTGAATGCATTCTTTTACCAGCAATGAAACCGATGGCGCCCCTCAGATTAGGCGCCCAGGGTACGCACTCTATCTATTCCGTCCTCCTTACGTTACTGATTTTAAGTAAGGATGAACACTTTTTCTTTGATAAAGTTATTTTAGCAAAGAAAGAAACCAGGAAAACAAGCAAGGAAGGATTTTTTAAGTACAGGTTTTATTGAATTTTAGAAAAACAGGAAATGACAGGCACTTTCCGCTGTAAAAGCAAAAAGACATTCGAAAACTTTCTGAAAAAAAAAGCATTCGAAAACTTGTTCCTCGCATTTTTTTTATTACTTTAAATAAAGTTGTATGCGTCTTTTTAGTTAAAAAAAGAAGAAAGAAATATCACCCGGCCTCTATTTTTTTCTTTTTTTTAGCGAATTAAATATATGACTCGAGGTAAATGCTTGTATCGTTAAAGATAGATTCTGAACAGTTATTTTCGACCGCAATCTATTAGAGAAGATGTATTTCTTTAATGAGGTTTACTGATAATTGAACGTATAGTTTGTGTGTGTGTGTGTGTGTCTTTTTTTTTCTTATCTGGGGAATGCAATCGAACGTCTAAGCTAATTGCAGATGTGAGGAAGCTTGTTGACATCTAATCTTTTTACAGAAAGTCACATGCACACACACACACACGTATATATATATATATATATATATATATATATATATATAGAGAGAGAGAGAGAGAGAGAGAGAGAGAGAGAGAGATAGATATAGATAGATAGATAGATAGATAGATAGTTAATGACTGAGATAGATAGATAGATATGTACAGACTGAGATAGACAGATATGAACAGACTGAGATAGATAGATAGATAGATAGATAGATAGATAGATAGATATATATATATATATAGATAGATAGATATGAACAGACTGAGATAGATAGATAGATAGATAGATAGATAGATAGATAGATAGATAGATAGATAGATAGATAGATATGAACAGACTGAGATAGATAGAGGGCGAGAAACAGAGAGAGTCAACGAGTTTTATTCACTATCGGAAACATTAGATTGTGAAGAATGTCTGTCTCTTCAAAGCAATCTTAACGATTATTCTTCTGAAAGGTCAAAGGTTGCTTGCAAATTGGGCAAAATCACGAATATTAACAAAAAAAAAAATTAATGGGATTACATTAAACGAAATCTTGAATGAAAAAGAAAACGAAAGAGAAAACCTGAAATCATAATGAATATTGAGAGGAAAAAAATTCTTAAAAAGACCTTTCCGCAATATGATTCAATTAATATACAAAATAACCTTTTCTAATGACGGAATATCTTCAGCTTTTTAATGTAATATCATTTGTCAAAAGATGTTTAGAGAGCTGCTTATCAAAGGAATGTTATTTTGAAGATGAATCGAAATCATTTAGTGAAAAGGCCTTTCTGTTAACCTTATAGCTAGTTAATCCCTTAATGTATGACGTTTATCCTCTGAAGGGGATTGATTAATGCGTGAAAGTTACATTAACATGAGAGCAAAGAGATGGACGATTTATTTGGGATCAATTTTTCTTGATCCTTTTTTTCATCAGGAAATAGCACTAGCCAAAGAAATATCGGGTAGCAAGAGATTTAGTCAGTCATATAGAAATTAAAAATACATGTTGGACGATTTTTTTGGACTCGAGGCGACGGAGATGTGTTTCTACAGAAGGGTGCTAACGATATCAAGGACCAAGCGTGTGAGCAACGATGAGGTCTTAGAGAGGATGCAAACAATCTAATGTATCCGATAGTGAATAAAACTCGTTGACTCTCTCCGTTTCTCGCCATCTATCTATCTATCTATCTATCTATCTATCTATCTATCTATCTATCTATCTATCTATCTCAGTCTGTTCATTATCTATGTATCTATCTATCTAAGTCTGTTCATATCTGTCTATCTCAGTCTGTACATATCTATCTATCTATCTATCTATCTATCTATCTATCTATCTATCTATCTATCTATCTATCAATCTATCTATCTATACCATAATACCTATTCTATTGTAATGGACCCTCCCACAGATAATAAGTAGTAGTAGCAGTGGTCACTTGGGCTCAGGGGTGTTGAGTGAGTCAGTCGATATCGGACATTGAAGTACCAACCATCACAACTTGATTACTGCGTCATTAACTCTTATTTCCAAGTTCCTAACGTTTTGTACGTCGGACTCTTTTAGGACAGACTTATTGAAATACAAGCCTCCACTGCAAATTACTCTACAACACTATCTATCTATCTATCTATCTATCTATCTATCTATCTATCTATCAGGAAGAGGCAGCTGAAGTTTCTGGGATACATACTGAGAAAGGAGGGCCTGGAGAATCTGATACTCATGGGTCGAATAGAAGCAAAGAGAGACAAGGGAAAACAATGCGTGACATACCTGGCGAACTTAAGCAAGTCGATGACAGAACGTGGTCTAGGCGAGAAAGCAGAGGGAAGGAACTTGTTGAGAGCTGCAAGGGATAGAGTGAGGTGGAGAGCCATGATCGCCAACGGCCTGAAAGGACATGACACATAGAAAGAAAGATCATGAGAAATTGTAGAGTTTGAATTTTACATGTATTCCGTCGGCCTTATAAATAAATGTTATATCTATGAAATTACGCAGTATTGACGATTTTGAAAGAAAGATATGTAAACATCATGATTAGACAAATATAAATCATTGTTTATAATTATAAATCAGATTTGTGGGGCTTTAACATTCTTTTCATTTTGTTTTACGGCATATCAACACCTCAATGGGTTATTTAATGTCGACAAGATTTTTATTGCCGGTATAATTTTTTTCAAGAAATATATTGTTGGTAATATTTTTTTCCAAAATGTATTGCCGGTAAATTTTTTTCTCAAAAATGTATTGCTGGTAATATTTTTTATTCAAAAATCTATTCCTGGTAAATATTTAAAAGAACGAAAACAATCCACTTAAAAAAGTGTTCAACTTGAAAATCCCTGAAGAAGGCCAGAGAGCACAGCGCCTAAAACGCTGTGATAATAAAAATAAAAAACAAAGATGAAGATATTGGTTTGAATGTAAATAATGATAAGTTTTTGTCCTATAAAAACAGATAGGAAAGAATATTTCATTCACAAACTAAAATACACTTTAATTAGTTCTGAATATTAATCCATCGACCAAACATTATACAATGAACATTTCAGATCAAATATTAACATAACAATAAGTCGGGATACAATTCCCGCTTTCATAAATTTCGATAAGATGCTTTACATTATTGTTTGCCAAATACAAGACCCAAGAGCCACTCAAGTTAGAGGGTTAAGGAATGAGGTTGTTGTAAATATGCAAAAGGAGGCAGTAAAAAATGCATATCATGAAAGTAAAATAAGTAACGGTTGAGATTAGAAATGAAATAGTTAACTGATCGAGAAAGCATCCTTTTGGGAGTCACATCCTTGAGGAAGAAGATGAATGGAACTTCCTCCTTACGAATGGAATATAAGGCGAATGTGGATGAGTTGATTCTGTGAACGGATGGATTGGGATGTATCTCGTCAGAACCTGAAATAGCGATAGAGTATCGAAAGGTTAGCAACGTTTCGCCTGTGGGGAAAGAGGTTGTAGGGTGAAAAATGACTCAACGCTTCTAAATTCAGTCAAGGCTGCAAAGTGAGGATTGGTCAGCTCCAACCAGTATGGTAAAAGGAGCCAGGTACTTTCTGTGACGGAACAGGGAACTGACCATGTTTCCAACATAGGAGTCTGGAGTGAACTTGAACCCTTACAGAGGTTCAAGGCATCATTGAGACTAGATCAGTTCGTCACGACTAGAGAAAAACCAAGGCCCTGTTCAGTAATGAGGAAATGCTCCTTGCTTCGTTTTGGAGGTACTGAATCATGCCCCGCTACAATTGGCTTACAGCCATATCACATACGATCAACGATGTTAAGCAACGTCGAGCATGGTCAGTACTTAGATGGGTGACCGCTTGAGAATACCAATTGCTGAAG